CAGGGTATATGACAGCTGTGTGAATAAAATTGGTGATTTTCATTAATAATTAGTATTAATTGTTCTATAAGAATTATTAAACGAATATTTATTTTTTCCTTACATGTGTTGATTTTCAAATATTCTTTTACAGAATAATTTTGCAAATAAGTACATTAATGCTAGAGCAAATCCAATTAAAAGCAATATCATTGGACTAATGATGTCGGCCAACTGTAATACTTGAAATTCTTAATACTTCAGCAGCTTTGATGTTTCCGAATAATCTTTTTTCTCGATGATTCCAGTTTCAAATATACGTATTACACTGCAAAAGAAATAATTTTTTAATTATTTCGTAATAGAAAAACGTCATACAGGTAAATAGAAAGTAATCTTACGTTTTACTTAATTCTTTCTTAACCGGAAATTCCTTTCTTACAGCATAAGACTGAACAAATGTGACGAGAACATCTTCAGAAATGATATATGCGTGTGGTTCTTTGTGCATTAGTTTATTTGGGTAATATTCACTCTCTATCAGAGAAAAACGTTCTTTCTTATCTTTTTCGCTTGCAATCGACAAAGACGAAAATTGGTTGTGACGTAGGATTTAATCTTTCAAAATTTTATCCCTGTTTTTGTTGGAATTTTTCAATAAATATGCAGGAAACAAAATCATTAAAAACATTAAAAGTTCTAAATGAAACAGTTGTTATACAAAATGTCCATAATTAAAGTTTTTCTATTCAGTGCACTCTGTATCAGTAACTGACGATCGAATCCCCCAATACAGATATACAGACGATGCAACGAATGATAAAAAGTGTTTCGAAAGAATATAAACTTGAAAGTTTTCCGGGCTATTTACAGGAAAGTATACGGCTCGAAACACGGTAAATAACAAACGCCAACGTTAACTTACATTTTAATGTTATTGTAAACACCACGAATGAATTCGCTGCAATAACATTTATGTCACAGCAAACATTACTTACACCAGTAAACATATTATGCAGAAGGCATGTTCTGTGCTTAAAGAATAACTACGTTATTTTGTGTTATTGCTTTCCTGTTTCCTGTGTGTCTCTAGCAAAATTTTTAAACTAAATTTATGTTTGGAAATTCTTTTCTGCATTTTTCGAAACTCTGTATACTAGTTTTAGGGGCCAATTGCTTATTATTTACAAGTAGGCCTACAGTTAGAACTTAATAGAAAAACTTTAAATATGGCTACCATGTACTGTACTCTACACGATGACATAAAAATCAGATGCAAAAGTTAAAAACCACTGTGCGACGGATTTATTATAATTAGATATAGAGACCTAATAGATTTATGCTTCTAACAACAGCTAAAACATTTCTGGGAGCTGCATGTTCCCGATCAACATAAGGCACCTAAATCGAAACATTCGAACCAATTTCAACCTGTCTGTCGTGGCTGCATCAGCTAACGTTCAGAATGCGTTATGGCTTCTCTTAATCAGCACAACACATAGTGTTCAAATGTCACGAAAGCCAATTTCTCTTTGTGGTCGTTTTGAAATAGTCACAACGCGTTGTAGCTGTTAGTTTGACTTCAATTTTGTGGCTGGCCGTTGCTGAGTAGTTTGTACGGAAACCGAGTTATTACAGGACAACCGAGGCATAAATAAGTTTACACTTCTGTTCTTGAACCGAATTGTTTGAAAAGCAAGGTATACTTAACTGAAGATCATATTATATTTTTTATTATCAGAATAATTATGAATAATGGTGAAATTTGCCATGACCATTTAATTTTTATTTCACAAGTAAGCTATATCGTGATATATATAACTTAAATTGGATCATAAAAAACTGGGCGTTCAATACTTTCGTGCTAGCCACTGCAGACTCATTATCTTTTCGCTCCTATCAAGGTGACAAACAATACGTCTGCTTAAGCATCTTGCATTTTTTAAGCCAACGATGTGACATGAGTTAAATTCGCGCAGTCGTACGAGCTGCCAAAAGAGGCATTGTTGTGTTGGTATCTTTAAGTTCCTCAGATAACAACGTAAGTCTCTTCGCAAATAATGTATTATTTAAAGATTAGCATATAGAAGAAGAGCTAAAGCTACAGTATTTGTCCTATAAATTGCAGGTTTACAAAAGAAATGTAAACGGTACAAACTTTACTTCGACTACACTTTTGCCGTGCTTTCTTGTTGTTGAAAACACGAATATTAATGCTCCGATCGAAAGTGTTAAAATGACAATAAATATGTGTAGGAAGCTACCTAACAGAGGCAATTCCAGTCGAACTGGCAAGTTTTCTTCACCTTTATAGGCACTTTTCACGTAATGAACATAGGCAGTCTGGTTTTTCTTCAAAATTGTGAAATGAATAGTGAGGAACATATTCATAATTAAAACCACGACATTCATTTCTAGCGCATAATTACCGTACAGAAGTACATGCCTACAAAACTCAGGTAACAAAAATAATTTTCGTTAAATAGCAACAGGAAAAAAAGATCAAATGATAAAAACCGGAAAAAAAATTCAATCATATTTAATATAAAGTTCAAAAGTCATATAATGCGCTTTTCTTCTCTTCTGTAGCTCCATTGTTTAGTTGGTCAAAACAGCTACATTTCTCGAATGGTTTCATACCGAAACCTTTTAAAACAGAAAGTAGAGGTTAAAAATTGTAAGCCATGCAGCGATTCGATCGTGTCCAAATGCTACTTTTCTGTTGCTGAAAATTTCTATCTTAAGAATTTTGTTGATGAATTTTCAAATATAGTTTCCTATTATTTATGATTTTCTATAAATGATTTAAAAATATAGAGGTAATTTATATACGACAGTTTAAATTCACGTAATTTTTTTTCTAAGTGATATAAATTGTTTGTTATTTTTGAATTATTTCAACGATATGTATATATAATTATTATCAGGTGTACAGAAGTTTTTCAAGTTGGACTGTTCTTTTATTTGAAATTCATGACAGTAAATTTCATACTGAAAAAGTAGATAAAACCAACTTTATATTAAAAAATAATCCAGTGTAAACTTTTTTATATGTATAGTACAGGTCTCTCTCGTATAACGTAATAGTTACGTTCCGAAAATTTGCCGTGGTATACGAATCCGTGCTGTATAAAACAGGACTTGGTGTTAAATTATAAAAGTTTACAATAGTATAGTATTCTTGTTGTTACTATGAGAAATAAGTTTATTGAAGCTATTAATAATTCATTTACAATCAATAACATTTACTAACAATCAAAATCAAAAGTACTGTATTACGCTTCAATACTAATTTTAGTTAAGCCAGACGCTCATTTTAAAAAAGTATCGTCGTCTTCTAAGCTATTTTGTTCATTTTTTATCAGAAATATCTGCAAAGTCTTCATTTTTTAAAATATTTTTAACATATAAAGTATTATTTATAACAAAATATAGATATTTTATTGATCAAAAATTTTCTAAAATGTTTTGCCAAAAGATGGCGCAACATGTAAATAAGCATATTGAATGTAAAGAGGTATTAATTGATTAATAGAAATATAACAGATATTTGGGGAGTGATGTAAAGCATTATCGAAGTTTGAGTTATGTGAACGTAACTGCCGAGTTTTGTAGAAATTGGTCGAACGGTTCAGGAATGTATACCTAAAAAACAAACAAACATTCTTATTTATATATACAGATGTACAGTACAAAATATTCGAAACCATTTTATTTAGTTTCGATTTGCAAACTACATTTAATCGATCTGATTTTCATTGAACTTTTATCCAGGTGAAGTTAATTCTTCATAGGACTAAATGGATTCGTCTAATAAATCGAGTTTAATCAACAAATCAACGATTAATTATTGATTCCTATACGAATCGAACGAAAAAAGAAGAATAGAGCATTAAATGGCATTACTATGAAAGAAGCCTTTTATTTCCCATGCAAATAATACATATTGGAAAAATTGAACCTTGTTACTTCCTGCAAATAATAATTTTAAATATATTCAAATAATTATTTATAAATTCATCTTTCCAATTATCACTCCAGTATGGAGAATCCACATGCGACATTTTTTATTTTTACGACTTTCCACAGATAAATACATTGTAGATGAGGCAACTAATTAGAATGGTTTACAATGCACACGAAAGAAAGTGCCTGTGAACATTTGCCAGTCTGACAAAACGTGCCAGGTACAGAAACTTGCATGGATCAATTGTTTTCAATTATTACCGTTTTATTTCAAATGCACACGAAACACATTAAGTATGAAACTTTCATTCAAAAATTACGTTTTACATTCGTAATTATTTCGCTATGGAAATATATGATATCGAAAACATCAAGTGATCGTTCCGAAGTAAAAATCCATAATTATTTGTCGAAAACTTTTACAAAATACAGTTTTGGTAACGGTGTTAATTACATTTTTCATTAAACAATATTTTGATTTTTAAACGCACACTTTGCAATGCATACAATTTCCTTTCATTACTAATGATTTCATAGTGTATTTCCTTATAAATAGTTTGAATTATGATTGTTATATTATATACACTTTATAGCAACGGTAAAATAAATTGTTATGTGTAATTAACACACCGCCAAATGATGGATTGTCTTTTCTCATCAAATCAACTCACGTAGAATGAAAGGCTGTGTCGTTAGATAAAGAGAAATATGTCTTACATTCAGGCTTTGTATATAAAAGTGCAGAACGGGTGTTAAAAATGATCAAGTCTAAAATTACAATGAAATGAGTTGTTTTAATAAAGTTTCGTTTTGTTCAATTGATTTTGTTCAACTTTCACAGTTAATTAAACATGGATTTGATGCAGGAGATTAAATTTCACATTGATTTTACTAAAATTACTTATTTTCGTGACGTTAAACATAATAGATTTTTTCTGGTTTATATTCATCTGCAGATTCTAGTCTAACGTTTTTAACACTGTAGAAGTTGTTACTGTATAACCGAGAGAATGAAAATACATTTTACAACTATCTTGAATTTGATAATTGTAAGAATGTCTTTGTTGTCTGCTGAAGAACATGGTGAGATATTTATTTATTTCAAGTAAAGTTAAGATAGCTATTTCGGTTCGACTTGGCCACAGGTGTGAAAAGGAAAGGGTATAGAAAAATGAGTGAGGGATACTGTGGGGAAAGGGAGAAAGTGGGATAGGCAAAGTGAAATGTGGAGGTAAAGTTAGGGAACATATGTCTGATTTGCATTGCGCATATTACAGAAAACAGTCTGTTGATTGCCTTAATGGCTAGACAAGTACAATAATGGTATACAGAGCAAAAATGTAGCTCTGTCTACTATCATGGCAGTGGTTTGTCGCCACTGGTAATTCCGACAAAAAGCAGGCACTACCCTAATATACCTTATATAAATAGACAATGATTCATTAACATAGGACCTGGGTGATAAAATCGCTGATTAGAGCGTTACACAGAGAATCATAGTTGCTTTCTTAGAACTGTGGAAGAGAAGCTACGCAGGACATCGTAGGTGTGATACCACAATGTGCATGTCCATGGTTCCACACTTTTCACTTTTAAAACACTTTATTTACAAATGCCTCAGCACCGCTAAGCATAGCCGAAGTAAGCATATATTAATATTACATGTGACACGATACATTTAACAATACGGATTACATAGGGTATGGAATGGTAAACAATATTCATGGTATCATACAACAATAAAGTACAAAGGAACAATATTTACAATCACTAAAAGCTATTTGCCAATAGTATATTTTGCCAATAATATTTCACCTACTCTCGGTAAGGTTTTCCAGCATCCCCTTTTCGGTTTTCCCCAGTCTTTTAGTAATTATATTATTGGTTTTTCCCTCAGCTGGCCTGGTGGAGTTTTTCCGGGTTTCCTCAACCTCTTTTCTCTCCTAATGTGGACCAGCTGCCCCTTTAACTTTACAGAACTCCCGGAAGGCTGTAGCTAATACCAGCAGTAGTATTTAGCTTCTTCAAAATTCTCTATTTCAAATTCGCTGGTGCTCCCTGATTGGTAAGGGGCCGAAACCCACAAATAAAAAAAAACTTTCTGGATGCAAAGCATACTGCTCGAACAATCTTTGCTGTCTTTATTGATGCTTGAAATGATAGCTTTTATCTTCAGTTTTGTCTGTAACATGCATAAAACCTCTGCTGTTTTTAATTGAAATGAAAATATTGCAAAACGTTTTAAGGCTAGGAACTAACTTCTCAATTACGTTTGTCTTACATGCTTGATTGAAATTTAGTGTCACAGAAGCTAGCATGCAACTACTCCTGTCATTATTGATGTTTTTGAATCTTGTAAGGTAAGATGGGAAGTTACCATGGCCTGTCAAGCATTTCATGATGGTGTGAGAAGTGATGAAATAGGCGAGAGCATGTTAAAATGCTTCCTGAAACTCATTTTGAAAACGACTACAGAGGAGTACTCAAGTCTAGAGAGTACAGGAATAAGGAAGGACGGCCACGTTGTTAACTGCTAAAACTTGGCTGACAAACCGAGATGTGTGACATGGCATGTTCTCATGATGCAATTTCCAGCTCTTGTTTTTCCACAGCTCTAGCTTCTTCTGGCACACATCTCCCCTCAAATGCATTAACAAGAAGTTCTATGTAGAAATTTTTGTCATGGCTATAATTTCTCTATAGGAGAGCTGCGGATAAATGTTAAATACATCTCTGCAAGAGGGCGCTCTCTAGCATTGGAGCACCAGGTGTGCATGCTTTTCTTGTAGAGCTTGTTAGATCTTGTTAGTTAACAATAAAGTTATGTTATTATTATATTCCTAAATTAGTTGTGAATACTGATATCCTAGCATGCGAAAATAACTCAACAAAGGGTTATGGGCTCAGGAAGAAAATTCCAACTTTGGTGCAATTGGATTGAACGATTGACCACGGTAAGAACGAATAGAATGGCTTTGGAATCCATGTATTATCTACATGGATTCCAAGGATGACTTTTTTAGTGCCTCGTTTATAGATGTACACACACTTGTCAGATTGGAAGTTCTTTGTGCCGATCTCTATTAGGTATTCGTTAAGTGTTTCATACCAGATTCGGCCACTGCTTTAATCCATATATAGCTTGATTCAACTTGCATACTTGCCTCACATGAGAATCTCACATAACACATGACATGAGCGGTAAATTACTTATGTAGAATATATTTATAAACTTTAGATTTAAGACGAATTCTTGAATGCCATTTACATTACGCGAATGACAATTCACGCGGTTTTTATTAATCAAATTCGACTGCAGAGCGTACCGAAGAACAAATGTAGTATATTCACAGCACGCGCTTCGAAATCTAATTGAAAAATACCAACCGAATTTTCGTATTGCAACCGCGACAAATATGAGGTCGTAATTTTGTTCGCGAACCGAATTGTTCGGAAAGTGAATAGTTTGATAACCGAGGTTTCACTGTATTCGAATTAGCATATTATCTAAAATTCACTGAATCTTTCTGTGTAGCCAAATAGCCGGCATAATTTATTAGCTATTTTTATACCAATGAATTTTGGTGGATGATTCCATAACTTTATACGCAAAGTATACTGCTCGAACCATCTTTGCTATCTTTGCTGACGCTACAAATAATAGCTTTTTTCATTACTTCTACGTATAGTGCTCTAACATGCATAAAACGTCTGCTTTTTAAAATCAAAATTAAAATATTCCAAAACGTTTTTAGGCTGGGAACAATCTTCTCTATTACGTTTGTGTTACAAGCTAAATCAAAATTTATATTCACAGAAGCTAGTATGCAACTTGAATAATTTTGTATCGTAAGACTTTCGCGCAAACACGACAGATGAAGGACAAGACAGGCAACGAGTGCAGAAGACCGAATTCAACTAAATACAAACAAAACAGAAAGAAAAAAAAAATCCCTGGGCCCTGTAGTTATCGAAATTTCCCAAAAAGTTACTGTAAACATCGCATTTATACTAATACAACTGAAGACATTGTAGCCTGCAACTAACCTGTAGAAATGTAAATTAATAATGTAACAACCTATATGATTCATTAATTAATGAATTATTCACACTGATTCATACAATAATAATCTTTGAAATATTTAAAATCGACATTTTTTCATTAAATTTTTATTTAAAGGAATTTAAGTAATACGAGCCATTCAAATGTTTCAAATCTTTATAAAATACTTTACAGGAGCAAAGAACAACTCGTATGTATGGAAAATTGTTGGTTTACAGGTAAGGTAACTTCACTCAAATAATTGATTTTACTATTTTATAACGTGAGATACACATTACAGAATCCGGATTATATGAGATTGGACGAAACGAAAACGAAAATCACGGGTGGATTTTACTTTCACGTCTTCGAATCTGTGCAACAGAAATTAAAATTTAGGTAAATATTATAATGATCACAAATTTACAAAGTATTAGTTAAATGAATGAACAAAGAGTAAATTTAATTAGTTACATTTACGTAGGTATTCTATTGTTAAACCAATACCTGAAGATTTCGGACGTCGAAGTAAAAATGGTTCGTGGACGGGATTACTGGCAAAACTGGTAAACAAGGTAGGAGAAATTTAGATTATACACGCGAATTCTTGTAAATAGGTGACAAGGCGTAAGTTGGCGTTACGTTTACATACACGAGCTATTTTTTTTCAATGTAAAAGGCTAATATTCGCGACGTGAATAGAATTCGCAAAAACATTAATAATTGATTGTCACATGAAGTTTTCAGTGTTTTGTTTTTCGTATTTGAAAAACAAAAATGAACATCAGTTTATCATAGAACGTTCTCCCGGGAGACATGCACTAAGTTCTTTTATTGTCCTCATATTGTATTATTTTANTTCCCGATACTCCTACCTCCATGCTTGACATTGCTCGTGCTCCATCTGTCGATATACCAATAATCTTTTCTAATGAAATTGAAAAATTTTCCAACACAGACTTTAGTTCATCGTACAGGTCTTTGCCGGTTGTAGTCCCTTGCATTGGAATCAGTGAACACAATTCTTCGGTAATATTAAATTTGGTGTCAATACCACGTAAAAATATAGTCAGTTGTGCTGTATCGCTAATATCGCAACTCTCATCAAGTGCCAAAGAACAGTATTCGAATTTTGTAATGCGTTCACGAGGCGTTGTTGCTATGTTCTCGGACAAGGCTTCAATTCTCCTTGCAATGGTGAATCTTAATAAACTAATGTTTGAAATAATATTTTTTTTTTATCAGGAAATGCTATTTCTGTAACAGCAGTCAGACATTCTTTTATCATCTCTCTATCCGCAAAGAGTTTCATTTTTTTTGCCAGTATTTGACTGACAACAAAACTAGCCTTTACTGCCGTATTTGATAAAATAGCTTGCTTTTTAAAAATAGCCTGTTGTTTCCCCAAGTTTTTCTCCAATTGATTAAACTTATCTATCCGGAGTTGTCCTGTTAAGTTTTTATATTGTTGTTCATGTTTTGTATCGTAATGCCTTTTTATGTTATATTCTTTTAATGTCGACACAGTCTCTGAGCATATTAAGCATACAGCTTTATCTTCGACGAAAGTGAAAAAATATCAAATTTCCACTTTTCTTGGAAATGCCTGTGCTCATCCGCAACCTTCCGTTTTTTTTTGTTTGCTTTTCTGACATGCTATTATGGATTAAAAATTCGAAAGTTAAAAAAGAATTTGTAGGAAAACTTAATTTTGAATAAAAAAACTCTAATATTATATTTTTGACAATAATATTGCACTCACGCCTTACAAGAAACACAAGAATTGCTAAAATTGCTAGTTAACAGCTTACCAGTCTGACTGTGTGTCAGAAGCAAACACAAACAAGCACAGACGCGGCGCGTTCGTATCGCATTTTTGAACAAGTCGCCAACAAGTGAGTAACTCGTCACAAAAAATTGTTTCGGTTTAGTATATATTACCATTCTATTATAATCAATTTTATAACAATATATTGATGGGAGAAAGTCGATAAAATAATTTCAATTTTAAAAATGCTTGGCGGACCGCATAAACATGTTTAACGGACCGCAAGCGGCTCGCGAGCCGCGTGTTGCTCAACCCTGTCCTATTTCATCATTAGAATACAATTAAACGATTTTGTATTTTAAATTTAGGAAGCTGATATGTCTCTCATTGCTTTATTCCTCACCGCGAACAATTTTGCTATCATGGAAGTTACCTCCCCTTTGATGTTCCAGCCGATTGTATTTGTTATCAAGGGACCAGAAAGAATTTCGAATTGGATTTCTATAATAAAACCTTTCGGTTTGGAAGTATGTTATTATCATTTAATTAAATAGAGTTGCCAACTGTTCGGAGTTTCATTTGTTTTTTAAAAGATTGTTTCAAAAACGAAATGTAATAAAATTTTCAGAAAAATAAACGAAAACTACCGTCTTTCTATTTCAGCTTTTCTCTATTTGCTTATTAGAAGTTGGCATCATTAATTATATTCCTATTTATTTATTTATTTATTTTACACATAAAATAAGAAGTGTCACTAAGACAGTTCACCTTTTTACTTCAAAGAGAAACGAAAAATACACATAAAACACAAATGCGCGGTAAATAAAACTACATATAAATAAAAAATTAGATACAAATCAAAGAGAAGGTGTAAAAATACAAGGGTTAAACGTTGGAGACCGCGCAGGAAGAAAAAATCAAAGCGTCATCTGTTAAATTTTTGACTAGAAACTTTTTATTTGTTTTAATTCATTTGAAAGGGCAAATAGCTTAATTCTGAGGGTTACATTAAGAAACTATAAATGCTAATAACCAGTAAAATTGCCTGACCTTACTCGAGATGCGATAAACAAAACTTTTTTTTTCTCCCACTGCTTCGACTTTTAACTACCAAAACTAAACAACATCAATAATTGTGATAAGCAAACATTTCTGCAAAAATTCAGCAATTTTCAAAAAAAACACAAGAATTATTAACAACTCAGCAGTAAAAAACGAAAAAATCCTTTAAATTCTTTTGGGGTATCGCCAAAAACTACCGTGAAATAAATTTACCTAACAATGAATTATGTAACAATATAAAAAGGCTTTTCTTTACTAGACATAACTGTTTACAAAATCGTTTTCTGAAATGGTAACGAGATAAAACGCGCGAAAAAATACTTTAAAAATTTCCCACGTTTATTGTCCATTAGTAGGAGTATAACCCTACTTGACTAGTCTACTGTTGAAAGGTTGTTTTTCTTTTATTTAACTTAACTTTTTCCGCCCTGTGGGCACTAAGAGTGCCTCTTTATGCAAGCGTATTATGGGTTCGGCCAGGTACACAATGGGGCTGCCAGGTGGTGAGGGACGGGGCCCGACATATCCGAACGGACCAACCCCCGAAAAATTCCTGGGGATTTTTCGACTCGTTCAGATTCGAACCCGGATCTCCCAAAGCGATAGGCTACCACCTTAAACGCTCGGCCATCCGGCCACTGTTGTCAAATGGGTTGAACAAAATCGTATCCCCATACACGCAATAACGTTTAAAAAAAACCCCTAAATGTTTATGCGTTTGTTTTTATTTCAAGGTGCCCTAGGACGAAAATGTAAAAATCAGTAAGGAAAGGTTATTTTTGTCCGATCGAGATACCGTCTGTTATATGTGAAAGAAAAATAAAAATGTTTCGAACTTGATTTGTAAGAAATGGTTTTCTGTTGCATAACAAAATGGGGTTTTCCACACACGGTTCAAAAAAAGTGGCTATAGCCTGAACTACGGCGCTGGGTAATCCAGGATGGAAGACGGTGGTTAAAGAAACATACTAGATATGTTGAGCCTCTTATCTCAATAAGTAGCTGTCTAATTATAGACTTTATCGAATACACGATGAACCACCATAATCCCTATTAATGTTTACGAGATGGAAACGGTAAGAGAAATTTGTTCGGAATTCGAAACTCTGAAAGTTGGCAACTCTATACTTAAAAGTAAATATTTGTATTGGTTGATTCTGACGAAACTATTTTATTTGTAGATGTGGATTGCAATTGTCTCAACGGTATTCATATTTGGATTAGTATTGCATAAAGTGGTCGAACGTGATTTCGTGGCCGACGAAGTGGGAATATTCTGGCCACGAAGCCGTGTGTTCTGGAATTTATTTTGCACTTTTGTCTACCAAGGTAAACCGTCTTTTGCTCGCTATAACACAAATATATATTAATTAATATGAATAAAGATATATTGATGCAAAATACTTATAATTAGGAACAAATCTTAACAATGTCAAGAGATTTGGATCCAGGTTGCTGTTTTCAATATGGCTGCTATCAGTTGTAGTGTTAATGGGTAGTTACAGTGGAACTTTAATGTCATTCATGTCTTATCCTTTAACTGAATCTGTTCCAAAAAGTTTTGATGAACTAGCGATTGCTGTCAAAAATGGTGAATATTCTTGTGGAGTTATAGGAAAAAGTGTTCTATGGACTTACATTGAGGTAAGTATAGCGCAGCTAGAATTAATTATTTTCTTATTGAGATCATTCTGTAGCTGTAACCTGTAAAAGGTTTGACACGCATATTCCATATGTAACGGTTGCAAAAAAGCATTTCTCAAGAAAGAGTTTAGTTCAGAAATTTGTGCTGGGATATGCTTTACAATAAAAAACAGGAAATAGAACAGCAAAAATAAGGAAAACGCATTTATTCGTCTCTCAAGAGAGATGCCTTCTGCAGAAGATGATTATCGATGTAACGAATGTTCATCAATATGCGACTGATTCAGCGGCTCTTGCAAAATATAAAATACAGGAAAGAAACACAATAGAATAGGACATCGTACGTACAGTACATTGTGCGAAAAGAATATACCTGTATATCTTTTTAAAAAGTATTTTTTGATTAACACAGTTAATTCATCTTTCGATGCTACTCGTATATGTGAAAATCACATTAATCAAATAAAGTGAAACTTTGATGCTCGACTGTCCAAGAAACACAAATATGTTTATTTTTATTTTGTTATCGGCAAAATAAGTTGTGTGTGATAGAAGTCAATATAAACTGTATGAACATGACAATAGTTTCTCTGTCGGCCCTTTCAAATGCCAAATATTCTTGAAAATATGTTCGATTTGGAAAAATGAGCTTTCATGTGGAGCCAGGTAGAAACGTAAAGCGGATGAATTGTTTAATACAAAAAATATCCCACCGCCATTCATTCACAATTATAATCGATTAAAGTTGAAATTACATTTAGCCGACGGTATTTACACATAAATGTCAAAAGGGGACGAGTTCAAACATAAGTGCTTTTATTTTCACTCGTGAAAATAGAGATATTTATAAATCTCTTTTCTGAAATCAAGAATTTTTTCCCTTATATTTCTTGTACCTAAAGGACCGCCATATATTAAGATAAATACTCTTTCTAATATGTAATAGGCGACGTTTTTTAGCAGTATTGTCAACCATCTTCTCTGCAGCTGGTTTATTTCAATTATGCGTTTCTTCTCTTTCAATTTGTATATTAAGCATGGATTTGCATATAAAACTCACGTGTAAAAGTTATACGAATAGACATAAGTATTGCTATTTTAAAACGAAACAAACGATGAAATAATTTATGTAGCCAAGTCAAGTTTTTACATACAGAAACCAACTACAAACTGAACTTAATTGACTTTAGTTTTATCTATGCGGCATAAAATCTTATATAAAGGTAAACAAAATCCCCATTTCGAAAATGTATTCGAATGAGAAATCTCCAGATTTAATCTATTAAATCTGTCTTAACAGAGAGTTTACATATTTGAGTTAAGTATAATACGTCGTTTCTGTTTCTTGTTTTCTACCATATCTGGTGGAGCTGACCACGAAATTTGGCAGGTAACCTTTTCAATTCGAACATACGTTCTTGAGAGTTATGTTTCCAAATCCCGGCCGTTAGACGTTTGTGCTTTTTTTTATTTATAGGATTTGTCCCTCCAATGATTTGGGACGTTTGGAGACACCCTAAAACAGAAGTGTCAATAAATTCTCTAGTGGAGTTGATATTAGTATCAACATATATTCTCAGGAACTACTTCTTAAATAGTAAGAACGTTCTTCTGTTACTAACGACTACAGAAATGGTTACTGCTTTGTCAAATTTGAAATTACATCTATTTAAACAAATGTATTGGTTTTCAGAATCTCACATAACACATGACGTGCAACACCTCTTTAAAGTGACAAGTTATTTAGTAATTAATTTAAAATAATTGCGATATAATAGCCCGATATAATTCTGTAGTTGTTGGCTTATGGGTTTTTTTAACACCAAACATAAACAAGAGTAGCCATTTTGGCAGTCAAATGCGGCAACGTTCCTTAGTGTCCAGTGTGTAAGAATCGAAAGCAAATATCACAATCTGGAGGTTTATGTAACGCTGCATTTTAATGTGGTTAATCGTTTGGATAGACATATTATAAACATAACATGTCATTCAATCCTGTGGGATTAAGTCTAACCTCTTCGTAAAGTGGCTGAACATTTGTTAGCTTTATTACAAAACGGCGCCGTTTAATAAAACGATCACTCGCTTTGTAAAGAAGTTAAATTAACAGTCCGGCTGCGACATATATATATTTATAGGAAAACTTTAATTATTGTCAGACTGTATAACAAGATTCGCAATTATATTTGAAGTACTTTTAATGTGTTCTTTTATATATATTACTCACAGAATTCCAAAAGTATACGGGATAAAGTATTCAAAGATCACATCAAACGTCACAGCAACTTCTTGTCTTTCTCAGCAGCCAGAGAAAGAGTTAAGAAGGAACGTTTTGCCGTGATATATAGCGAGTATGGAATAAGAAAATTGATCGATAATGACCCACATGCATATATAATTTCTTCAGATGATCTGACCCAATTTATTCAGCCTTATGCCGTAAGAAAGGGATTTCCATTTAAGAAGGAATTAAGTAAAACGTAAGATAACGTTATACTTGTCTGTATGCCGTTTTATATAACGAAATAATTAAAATTGTTTTTTTACAGCGTAATACGTTTATTTGAAGCTGGAATCGTCGAGAGAAAAGATTATTCGGAAACAACAAAGTTACTGAAGTATTCAGAATTCCAAGCATTACAATTAAGTGACATCATTAGTCCAATGATATTGCTTTCCATTGGATTACTTCTAGCATTAATGTGCTTATTTGTAGAATTATTCCGTAAAAAAATAATGAAAAATTAATAATGCAACTAGAAATTATGATTCGTTTTAGAGCAATTACGAATAACTATTATTTATTGATTTTACTAAACATCTTTCCATTTCAATTTTCGTTGAAACGTCTATTTATTCTGTAATCGTGAAATTTGTTGTTCGCATGTCTATGTCATATAAATCTTCAGCGCCTTCGTGATCTTACAAGGTTGTTATTGTTGCACACTGGAACGTGGGCTGGCCACGTGGAGTTTTATGCCATCCCTGTAACGCCATTTTTGTAACGCCGAAATAGGGGCCAGTTACCGTTGAAAGAACTCATGAAAGACCTATGAAACAACATATGTTTCACAGGTCAATGGCTAAATATTATTTAACAGTTAGTTTCTTTTATATTATCAGAATAGTTATTATTATTTAAATATTTCATAACCATTTTTTTACAATTTGATAGGATATTTGCCTAAAAATGATATATGAGAAGAATAGCCGTTTCTATCCTTTGAACTATCGTCCAATATCGTTAATCAGTGTAATTAGAAAAGTTTTTCCACGTTATTGGTTAACCGCTGGAGACATTGGATCGAGCGGTCTTATGTTATTTTTTTAGCCAAGGTGATTTTGTAGCGAATAGAAATGTTGGTTACAATTTATTTATTTTTTTCTTTGAATTTTGTAACTACCTTTAACATAGAAACGTTATAAATTATATGTTGGATTCATTTATCAGTCAAGGGCATTTAATACAATTGATCACGATATTTTATGGTCAAAGCTTTCTGAGAAAAGTGTTTTTTCTTTTTTCATTAACCTTATAAGACAATTGTTTTCTCGTACCGTTTTTCAAATCGTCGTGTCTCGAAATCGGTATTAGCTGATAAAGGTCTTGTACAGGGCGAACCACATAGTCCTATTTCATTGAACTCATTTCCCGGATATTTTTCACAGTCATAAAGATGTGGGTATAGCTATATAACTAAAGATAGAATTGAACTGTGTTTTGTTTGCCTACGACATTGCAATATTTTCGTATTTTCCTATCGACCTTTAGAGTAAAATTCACATTCTACAGGGGTATTGAAGGATTAATAAACTAAAAATTAATAAAAATGAATCTAAAGAAATGAGTTTTTAGAGAGAGGAGGCTGGGAAAAGCAGATAAATTTTATTTATCTAATTCTGAGTTGGAAGTTATGTTGTCTTATAAATATTTGGGTATTTTTTTATCTTACAGGGCTCAAATTGCTAATTTAATAAAGCTCATCGTTAAAATAAAGAAGTCTTCTTGAAGTCTTAATTTCGATTGATTGATTCTTTGATATGCTCAAGTATAGGTTTTGTGTTTTCTATTTGTTGTCCATCTTCTGTTGATGAATTAGAGAAGATTCGATGGAGATTTACCAGATCGATATTTCATGTTAATCGTTCAGTGCTGGACCCGTTTTGAGATTTTGAGATTTAAATTCATATACCGCCATTGGCTATATGTTTAACAATGGCTATTTATCGATATTGGTTTAAAATTCTAGAGAAATTGACCTCAAAAAGTAAGTTTGTATTAATTTTAAATTAACAGATAGCAATTTTCTAGTTACAACTTGCACTTTCTTAGACTTAATGCATATACTATTGTATAAAGTACTCGTAGAATTAAGATATCAACTAACTCATATTTTTTTTTACGTAACACATTCTTTGAAAAGGTAAAAAATTATATCGTTGTATTATGTGAATTTACTGAACATTTAAACGATTGTTTTCACAATTGACTTTAATATGAATTTTTATACGATGATAGTTAAGTTCCGTAACGCTGTATATAATTTATAAATTTTTTTGTTATTTACTAAATATGTTAACGTAATCTTGCTAATATATGATATACATAATTGCATTTAATTAATAAACAATACAATAATGTTAGTATTTTAATAATGTTGCTTCGAGTTTTATACCCTGTTAGAAAATTCAGAAGCAAAAGCTAATAAACACATAAATGATATTTTTAGAATAGGCTAGATTTTCTATTGTATGGAGCTTATCTTTTGTAATAGATTTTCTATTGTTGGAAGATTAAGAGATGGGTCACCGAGACGAAAATATCTAAATGTGCTTTTTCTCCCAAATATTCTAGTATAATGGCATCCCTGGCTGCGAGGAAAGTTTGACTAGATATGTGAGCAATTTCCGAAATGAAGAATACCTCAAAGTGGACATTATATGAGAAAGTGGCCTATTTAAGTGTTGAAATCGTGAAGAAAATCAAAAATCTCCAGGTGACAAGTCAGTTGATAAACTGTGAACCTTCATCTAGCTGCAAGTGTTTACAGGTGTTCACGAGATCTCTGGATGGCAAGTAGGACATTAACGAACGATAGCGAAGGCTTAGTTTCAAAACATTAATAGGAAAAACAGCTTTCTGTATGCTTCTCATTTGGAAAAATATGCTTCCCTAAATACACATCTAGTCATTAACAATGGGTGACGATTTATGCAAAATAAATCCAATCCGCTTTATAAGTAGAATCTCTATCCGAACGCCACACTGTAGATCTAGAAAAATCCACAATAAAATTAATAAATAGACACGCGGAAGCCATCTTATTGCTGACAGGGCGGAAAAATAAAGAAAGAGAACGGAACACCGTTAGTTGATCGTGCCTAACAAACCGGCTGGTCGTGTTACGTTTTCGGGTTATTTTCATGTATCACACATTCAAANGGTTCGATTACAGAACGATTGTAAACGTTCCAGAAAATTGATCAAATTGAAAATAGTTCGTTTGATTCTCGGCAATTCTCATCATTCTCAGCGGTAGGTGTTATATAACAATTACTATGGTTATTGAAATATTGAATGTAAATGGGGTTTGCTTGCAAAACCTCCGCGGGCGAAGTCGCGGGTAACAGCTAGTCGACTATAAGTTTATATATATCATCAGAAGAGAACAAACATTTAAATAATTACTAAAAGAGTAAATTTATTATCAGTTTAGCCACTTCATTCATTTACAATCCTTCTTAAAATGTTGACAAATTTTAAAAATTATCGAAATTTATTTACATGGAAGAAATGAAGAATGAAACTTAAATTGTATTTCATCGACAAGTGACTATTTCTAACGCCTTTATTATTATTAAGTAGCGTGAGTTAAGTGTGCAATACCTATGTGCTTCTATTATTATTTCCAGCAACATCCTCGTCTGACTCTTCTATTATGACGTCGTTAATTGTGGATATTTGATTAATGACAATTATGTTATTCTTGATTGTTTAATATTGCTCTACAAATATTAAGCAGTTTAATTGCAAATATGCTTAATATGGTAACATTTTATGACACGTGTTAGACATTCTTGTAAAATATCAGTACCGAATAGCGATACTATAAAACTTTTGGCGCTCGAGCAGCAAACCTATATTTCTGTACAAGATATTTATTCTATACAGATAGCTTAGATAAGAAAACGACGCTGTTTAATGTAGTAGTACTTCTATTGGTGGAAATCCTGAACACAATGAACTGTCTCTTTGGAGATCAACACGATTGATCTATGATAATTTTCATGTGCGGTGTGATACGGTTTTTAAGATTGCCAAATTTGCAACCTGACTTTCATAAATCATACCTTTAAATTGCATAAATAAAATTAATTATTTGCTTGCACTTGTTAAATTTCAAACTAGACGAATGTAGTTTAACAGAACGTAGAAAAATTAAGAAAGCTTCGCGCCTCTAAACTGTATGTTTGAAATATGGCCTGTATGTGGGAAATAAATGATTGGCAGTTGACGTCAAATCTGGACTGTAATATGAATAAAGCGGAACTTTCTTGTAACTTTTATAAGCTCATCTTTGTGGTGAACGTCGGACATTGTCAACTTTTGAAGATTGTGGAAAAACTCAATTTTTTATAGTAATTTTCTTGTGGTCAACCGTACATTATCTTCTATCAGTTTCAGCAGAATGCCATTATCACTGCCAACATGGATTTCAACTTTAAAAGTGAAATCTTTATCCTTCAATTCTTGAACCAATTATAGCCCGTGTCTTTGCCAAATGTCATGCAGATAAGAATGTGAGGCTTCGTGTGTTATGTGACAAGAAAGTTCGCTGCAATCTGAAAGAAAAATTGTATAAATCAGTTGTTAGACGTGCAATGTTATATGAAGCTGTGACATGGGCAATAACTAATGCCAGCAAAAAACAATGGAGGTGGCAAAGATGAGAATGTTGAGATCGATGTGCAGGGTGTCAAAGAAAAATAGAATAAGAAATGATCTTATTAGAGGTCCTGTTAAGGTAGGCTCTTGAGCAAGAAGATTCAAGAATGTAAGTTGAGGCGGTTTGGCCAGGTAGAGCGAAGAAGTGACAATTATGTTGGAAAGTATGTTTAAAAACTAGTAATAAAAGGAAAGAGGAAAAGAGTAAGAATAAAAGTATGGCGGAAAAAGGCGTGAATCAGAGAAAACTTAAGAAAGAAAAAGACCTTGATAGGGTAAAAGTGTATATATACTAATTTTGGCTCACAGAATCAACAGCAGAGAATTTCGAAATCGTAAAAAATCAAGCAAAAATATAAAACCAGCTCAAAACGTTTTTAGCCTAAAAATTAAACAAACTCAACGATTTGTGCTTTATTTGTGTTGCCCCATTCGCTCATTTTTCTATACACAAATCTTAAATTTTTTGTTTTTTTTTTACTTCTTTAATATTCCCTTTAGTCAAATTTTCATTAAATCGTTCTGGCAGGAAAACTTGAAAATCATCTAACACTACTATTGTTTTATCACCATAACAAGTTGTTATCGATTTGACTTTTCAGATTGGATATTCATAATCAATTTCTATCTAACTCGTTTAAGTTTTTTGTTGGAGTATTTTGAAGTTTACCAATAATGTTTAGTTTATTCAGAGTCTCCATTTATATAGGAAAATATTCATTCAATATAATTTATATTGAAATACTGTATCTAAAAATCTTATCAATGAAATTGTTTATGAAATTTCCTTCATCATCTATTTCATCATAAGTCGGATATTTTTCTGTAGTTTTAATTGAAATTGTATCTCTTACATTGTATG